CACCTAAATCGTTTTCTATTTATTATTTATTATTTCCCATTTAGCGTACATGTGAAGTTTCAACCAACTCACCTGTGCATGGTGTCATTTGCAAGTCACTTTATTGATTGTTGAGTTAAAGTTACTAAAACATTTCTAAATGCATTTTATGATAAGGTCCACATAGCTATTCATTTGTAAGTGAAAATAGGTTTCTCTTTCACTTTAAAACCTCAAGAGAAGAAGTATGAAATGATCAACCCTGAAAGATTATAAATGAGCTGAGCCATTAATCAGGTGTCAGTGGGAATCTGTGAACATCTGTCAACATCTGCTTGGGGCTTTTCCTGTCATTTTACCTTTGTCTTTCTCAGCATCTCCATAGAAGTTTCCAGCAGTCAGTTTCCACTCTCCATAGTCAGACTTGTGCTTGGAGTTCACCCAGCGACTTCTCCATTCATCTGAGGGAAGAAAAATAAGCAGAAATAAAAATAAAGGTTGAGGCTTTCGTCAATTTAACCCTAATATTTAAATTCATGGCCTTTATAACTAATTAGTTTTAGAGCATATTGCAAAAAAAAAAATGCGTTTTTTAACTTAATTTGCAACCCCCTAACAGCTTTTCTGGGTTAAACAAAATAAATATTTAATGACAGAAGAATATTTCTCTAAAACAGTTATAAACCCAGCGGCTCCGAATGATAGATGTCACCACGGTGTCGTAAATGTAAAAATAACATGAACTAATGTCACTTACCACCGTCTAGAAACTCCTCCCGAAAATAAACCTTAGCCTGAACGCAGCAGACTGCGAAAACTACAAGAAGTGAACCTAAAAGCTGCATTTTTGCTCCTTTCAGCTGCACGTCCCGCTACACGCAGAGGCACCTCCGGGCTAAACAGCGAGCAGTTTGTGGAAGAAGGAAGACGGGCGAATATGAAGACTGGCTACGGTGAACAGATGGCTGCCTCTGATTGGACAGCAGCATGGAGGCTCTGGACCAATCACGGTGGACCACGAAAACAGCAGCGAGTGTCGAATGAAGGTAAATCAGCTGACCGTTTTTTTTCTATTTCCTGCTCCCGGTATGGGAGATATCCAGCAGGCTGTGCTGCATTTATCATTATGGAGTACAACATTTTTATATAAATAGTTTTATTTTAATCTGAATTTTAATTTTTCCGACCCCCTTTGAAATTATTTGTGAATGTTTTTTGCATCCATATCATCTGGCGTTTGTATGTATTTTCTGCTCAAACCTAACCATCGACAGCTGCGTTTTAACAGATAGAGCAATGCAAAATAGATAAATTAATAATAATAATTAAAAAAGATACCGCAACCTTGGCTTATGCAGTATCAAATTAGGGAAACATCTTAGACTACATGAACTGGAGAGATTACATCTTTGTGATTATGCTAAAAACAAGGATAGAGGAATTTCTTTTAAATTCCTTCATGAAAATTATTCTTTATCATGAAAAAACAAAAAACAACTGTAATAATAGTAGGTCTATTATTGATCCCCTGTTGTAAACTCCCTTAACTGTCTGTTCAGACCTTTTGGTGTCACTTTTTTTCCCCATCACAAAATACATCAACAGATAAATTAATTACCAGATAAATAAAATGACAGAATATTGGATTTTTTACTACACATGAAATAACAAAACACACATAGACTAACTTTTCAGGGCCTTTCCATGAATTTCTACAGCCTAACCGTGACCCTTACCCTAACCCTAACTATATCGGGTTCATACTGAACCCTAACCCCAAACTCAATACACACCTTAGTCCTTAACGTGACCCCTGACCCAAAAACAAACATTTTCCATGTGGGATCCAGGCATTGGCCCCCAAGAGGAGCAGCCAGTCCCTACAACATGCCATTTTCCCCAAAATGGGCCCCACAATTTCTTAAAAACAAGAACACACACACACACTTTAGGAAAACACATTAGGAAATGCAATTACAGTGTCAGTTCCTGTTTGTAACCATAGGGGGGAGCATGAACAACATGTATACTATTAGCTACCATGATAGTGTACAACTACAATTTAAGTGTAAAAAGAAAAGAGGTACAATTTGAAGAGTGAGATTAAATTCCTGACATTGTCTTTATAAGTGGTAACCTTCTTTGCTTCAACCGGTCTAAGTTGAGCTGTAACCTCTCTGTAATTTTCTCCTGAGGAACACATTTTTTTACTCTGTGTCTCCATTCCATTATGCTGGGAAGCTGTGGCTTAAACTAAGGGGTTAAGGGTCTTGCTCAGGGACCCAGGGTGCAGGCTTTGGGGATCGAATTCGGTACTCCTCTAATGACTAGACCAACACTCCTCCCAAAGAGTCTGTAATTGTTTTATTTTATATCAAATAGTTTCCACAAAGAGAGTCAAATTCCTATCTACAACATTATCTGGAGCTATACCCAATATACAGTGTTGGCTGTAAGATAATGCCCATGCCTAAAATATATTTGATTTACATTTGAACATTCTTGAAATCTTTGTATATTTCCCAAAATCTATGTTTAAAGCCCCTCAAAACCAAACCCAAAACCCTCCAACACTTCTATAAAGTATTGCTGTACGTTAATGAAATAGATGGAGTATTGAAATACTTTATTTTAATCTCAAATATATGGTTTGGCCTTAGATAAAACTTAATAAATGTAAAATGCCCAATAAGATACTGATCTAACCATTATTAAGGCCATGTTATACAAGTTTTTATATGTCAAAGCAAATTCAGAAGGGCAAAAAAACTCTCAAAAGTACTAAAACTGCTTAGGAATTATTTGGTTCCAATGGTTAATTCTGCTCAGTTTTCAGAAAACTGGAAAGCAATTCAAAATGTGTCAGATTCAAGTTGTTTATTTAGACTTCTGACGTCCCCTAAAGTCTGAACAAGCTTATTTTAAAAACTTCTTGCTTTACACAATGCTAATAAAAATCTCAATGAATTTAAACTATATTTTGAGTAAAAAAAAAAAAAAGCAACTTAACAGAACTACAAAATTGAACTATAATTGTTGTTATATGTTAGTTGTTCACTATGTTCTCTTGAGGATACTCTTTGTGTAAAATTCTTGTGTTTTGTGTTCAAAATGAAGATACACAGGAGCAGACCCGCTTCCCTGTCTCTTTTCAACCCATGTCTCATTTTCATATTATACCAGAGATTTTCTATTTTTGTTTTAAATCATAATAATATATTTCCTTAAAGGTTACCAGATTTCCCTCTTTAATATTATTGATGATGGCTGAAATGATAACATTAATCTTTAATCAAAATGAACAAAAACTAATTTTTGGTATATTTTCGAGCACAAATTAAAGTTATAAAATATATATCTGTGTTAAAATGTAAATAAAAGGAAAATTAATATTTTTTTTTTAAAGAAAAAACAATTTGATTCAAACCAGTATGGAGTAAAGAATGCACCTAATCTTTCACTAAATACCGAGATTAGTTTTTTGTTTTGTTGCTGCCATATTGAAAATTTGCCACTAGAGGGCGCCAAGTGCATGATCAAATCATGACATTTTTAAAGCGCGTTTTAGTAAGAAGCTGTTCAATAGAGGTGCGAATATTGTCTAAACAAAAGACAGTATGGTCACTTCTTATTAAACTTTTCACATCGTAGCTGAATAAACTTTACAGTAGAGCAGCAGGCACAGTGTAAAGAGCACAAACTTATTACATGTAAGTTCTTTCAACTATTGCTTTTAACACATCAATGACATTAGCACAAAAAAAATAAAACAAAATAATATATATATATATATATATATATATATATATATAATATATATATATAATATATATATATATATAAATGAAAAATAAAAACAGTGGATGGTGGTTTTTACATGGGTAGAATATTAACGGTGTTATATGTTGCATCGTGATTTTTATAGTCTGGCTTAGGTAGTGAAAACAATAAGAAAGAGTTTGAAACAAGTTATTTATTTGATTCAAACTCACTTTAGTACCATTACAGGCTGAGTCAACACTCGAAATTTACTGATTTATAGCACTAAAGAAAAAGTATTTATGTTGCTCTACAAAGTAATCTTAAAGCCATTGGGAAATAATCAACAAGGAAATTGAGAATAAACAAAGTTTGCTTCTTTGTTGATGTCATTAAAAAGGCTAAATGGAAAAGCTCTGACAAATTAATGAACAGCTAAATAAAAAATAAAAAAAAAAACAGCCACAAAAAAAACTGGTGTGCAGGAACAATAGTCCAGTGGCAAACCACTTTAATTTTTCAGAGAAATAGCTGTGTGGGTATCAAAGTCACTAATGTCTGAACAGTTGATGCAACATTAGAAGAAGGGTAATTTTACTGGATCAAATGTAGTTTCATGTAGAGCAGTTAGAGCAATGAAGCTTCAGGTTGTCTTATTTTATTTAATTTTTTTAAATATTTGTCATTACTAACAAAAAAAGAGGAGCTATGATAATGCACCTACGTACATAAGGAATCACATGCTGGGATTCAAATAGAGTAAAAAACAAAACTTTTGAGCTATACCATAAAGATAAAAACATTCTAACAAAAAATTAAATACTTGTAATATTTAACATTTATTATGACAATTTTCTCTCTTACAACAAATCTGCTGCACCATTGGACTCTGTGTTTTATGCAGATGACCTGCTGCTAATGTTTGATGATGTTCAATTAATATAAATCCGAATTATACACAGATTGGATAGCAGCCCTTTTTCTGTTTTTTTTTTTTTTTTTTTCATTTGGTTTCAAAAACAAATATTGAAAAAAATTGCATTTTTCAATTTTTAATTTTTGGTTTTAATTTGAAAAACGAAAGAACGAATGATACACAGATTAATATAATATATAAATGATACACGTGTGTTGTGTGAACATAGTAATTTTTATCACAGACAATAGACTAAGTGTATGTTAAAGATAGTTGTTAAATATTTCAAATGACGGTACAAAAAACAATAGCTTTAACTTTTCTAAGATCTAGTTGGTGAACAGTATTCATTCCTTTCGGTCTGAGAAACTCTTGGGGAAAAAAAACAAAAGAGTTTTTGAGTCTAATGGGCAGTGATCCCTGTTTCTACTACTGGAGCTTCTCTGCCATTTTCTCAATGTCAGTCAATCCTAATATTTATCTATGATTTCTTCATCTCATTATTTAAACCTACTCAGCGAAGCTTATTTTCTAGCCGGTAACTAATTACACTAATTTATCCCATTTCGATACTGTTGGGAGGGGAAATTTCTCCTAAAGACTGATTTGTCTCTGCAGGCCTCTGCGTCCGTAGTTCACGTCTAGACAAATGCTGCACTACAGCCACACCAATACAGTCACCAAGTACATTGGTGGCGGTTCTTATGCGATCCCTGTCAACACAGAAAACAGAGCAATCCGAGGTTAAAAAAACCCCACATCTTTTAACATTTTCTCACATTAAATGTTTTTTTTTTTGTATGTCTTGTAGCAAAATGTTTGTAATTTAGATTTTTTTCTTACTTGGGAAAGTTTCTATTTAATTGTTTTCATTTCACATTCTATGGTCAAATATCTTTAAATTACACACAGTGTTGTACGTACAAGATCCAGTCAACCATGAGGAGCAGTGATATGTCTTCAGTGGGCAGACCTGTTGAGCTCAGTACAATCAGCATGGAAACCATGCCAGCCTGTGGGATGCCAGCTGCACCAGTGCTTGCTGCTGTGACAACCAAACTGAAGAGATAAACAAAAAGTTGCTTTTATAATCTAACGACTGCACTAAATATGTCAAAGTTAAACTCCGATTTACTTCACAAACTGCTTTTATTTCCTTTAAGACAGATTAAAGCAATAAACACAAAAGGCAAATCAGCTTAATCTTCATACCATGTTCATCTCAAGGTTTTAGTTCTGTTTAAGTTTTCTTTTTGTGTTTTCATTGGTTTCATTTCCATTTTGTGTTATTCTAGTTGTTTTCGGTTGTATTTGAGTTCTTATGTATTTCTTGTTTACTCTCTGGTGCCTCCTTGTGTCAGTCTCCTTCCCCTCCCTCCCTCCTAGATGTTTCCATCCATCCTTCTCCTCGTCTGGTGATTAGCCTAGTCTTTCCTAGTCCTCTTCTTCACTATTGGCGGGGTTTTTTTCATTTCTTTGCTCCTCATGTGTGTTTTCCCTGATGTCTTCCAGGTTTTTGGTGTTTTGTTTTTGGACTTTGCTTCTGTTTGCCTTTGAATCAACATTAAATCTGCAAAAACCACCTCAACTTCTGTCGCAGCATTTAAGTCCTTTAAAAAACCCCACACAATGTGACAGTGCATGCACATGAACTATTTAAAGATGGCGCAGTGGGTAGCAATGCTGCCTTGCAGCAATAGGTTTCTGTGTTCGATTACTTGCCCGGGGTGTTTCTGCATGGAGTTTGCATGTTCTCCCTGAGCATGTTGGGGTTCTCTCTGGGTACTCTAGCTTCCTCCCACTGTCCAAAAATTCTCTACATTGTCCATGTGTGTGAATGATTGTTTGTCTCTGTGTTGCCCTGCAATGGACTGGCTATTAGTCCAGGGTGTACCCTGCCTCTCTCCTAGACAGCTAAAGATAGCCGCGACCACGCTGGGGTTGATGGATGGTTTAAAGCAACAACCAGTGAATCATTGTTTTTGGTAATATTTTGTCATGTTACAACTAAAATCTAGCTCTTTGGTTTTAATGTGACAGACCAACGTAAAGCAGTACTGAAAGTAAAGTACGATGATAATGCTACATGGTTTTTATATGTATTAAAAGCAATAAATAAGAACAACAAAGATTAAGGAATCAAAGAAAATAAGCACAAGGTTCCAGAGATCCTGATAACTATAAAACTGACAGGAAATTAAGTTGGAGATATCTGCAGCAAACATTGAATATGAACGTTTTAGCTGAAGGTTTACATGAATCTGAAGGATCTGATGTTATTGGAACTGGAGACAGTGCAGGTGCTGCTGTGGCAGGTCAACACGACACTGGGCAAATAGAGCTAGCCTTAAAAGAATCTGCAGAACGTGTCTTCTGTCTCCTTTCTGTGGCCAGGCCCAGAGCAGGACGGCAGGAAAACAACACAGGTAAAACAGAGAAGGAAATGTCACAATTGAAGTGGTGATCAAAAAGAAAGGCGTAAGGAAGATAGAACTGATCGGGCATAAGATGGGAGCCGATGGCTGAAAAACAGTCAGTTATATAGTCGGCTCACATGATGAGAATGGGATTACAGAGACATTAACAAGTGAGTTATAATTTAAAAGCTGCAGATATTGGAAAGAGCATGACGATGAGTGAACTAAGAAGACTAACTAGGAAATGACTCAAACACATGCAAAATCGGAAAATTAAACACAAATGCGCACTAGAACACAGATCTGTCATGAACTCAAGAACAATTTTTGAAAATGGGAATGGGCAAAATCTGGTTTTGCCATGAAATGTCACGTCTTGGTTGAGGTTTGGAGGACCCAAATGCAGAGGCAAAGAGGCTGAGGTGAATACTTGTAGTTTAATTATGAAAATGGTTAACAAAGGCAGTCCAAAAATCCAACTAAAAAGTAACAGACCAGAACCATGGAGACATCAAGGGAAAACACGTAGAAGGAGCCAGGGAGAGACGAGGGGAGACAATTGCAGCGATGACAGGACCAGCGACAACAGAGGAACCAACAAAGAGACAAAAAAAAAAAAAGAGACAAAAGACAGAGACAAAGGGAGGGCTAACGAGCTGACAAGGAGCAGGTGTGAGGAGACAACGAGGGAGCCAAGGGGAAAGGAACAAACACACACACATACACAAGAGGGCAACAGAGGACAACATGAGAACTAACATAAATCTAGAAATTACAACAAAATAGGAATTAAACCAATAAAAACTAGAAAACGAGGAGCAAAGTAAAGCACAACATAACCAAAACCATGACACAAAAACTGGTTCAACAAAGTATTAGATCATTGGGCTTGAGAGAAAATGGAATCATCACTTTAAAGAGTTTGAAAGGTTTTGACAGTTTGAAAACCACGTATTTTACTTTTCACCTTGATAATATAAAGTAATAATAAACATCAGACTTTTATGGTTGTTTGCAGACAAAACATCAGAAGGTTCAGGAGTGGTGGATCCTACAAAAACAAATTCTATTTAAATTACCTGAGAACAATAATTTGTCCAAAGTTGAAGTCCATGTCATTGACCTGCGCTATAAATAAGGCCGCCACTGCTTCATAGAGAGCAGCACCATCCATGTTCATCGTGGCACCCATAGGGAGCATGAAGCGCGTCACTCGTTTGTCCATGTTGTGATTTTCCTCCATACAATGGAGAGTAACAGGCAAAGTTGCAGAGCTGTTGAAAAGCACATTAAATGTAGTATTTTGCTTTATTAAAGGTCATTTAATTTCCATTGTTTATAGTGTTAATTATTAACCTAGATGAAGTCCCAAAGGCAGTGCTGAGAGCCTGAAGGATCCCTCCATAAAACTTCAAGGGATTCTTCCTTGTGACTATAAAATAGATCAGCGGCAGAGTGAAGCAGCCGTGGATGATCAGCCCGGTGATCACAGTGACAGTGTACATGGCTACACCATGACCTAGCCCCGCTGTGTTTGTCATTTTAACAACTTGCCCCGCCAGCAGGAAGATAATTCCCACCGGTGAATACCTGGTATAAAGGGAGGTGTTACACAAATGAAGATGCAATTAATTTTCCAAACAATAGATGGAGCCACAGAAACGTTTAAAGGCAAGGTTAAGTGTGTTTCCATCAGATCATCTAAAACAAAACAGCTACATAGGAAATTGAGCTATCAATCCCAGTTTAAGCTACATAAAAAGTGATTGCTTAGAGTTATATATATAGGTTTATCAATAGTCTCCCATTCTTACCAGATGGCTATATTAACAAGAAGCATAATGGCTTGATTTGTGCAGATAAAGAAATCCCGCAGCAGTTTTCCCTCTGTCCCCATACTGCTTAAGATGAGGCCAAAGGCGATGGAAAACATCAACAGACCCAAAACATTGATACCGTCTGAGGATCCTGCCATTGGTGCTGAACAGTAGATAACAAGTAAAATATGAATCATGAATCAACAATACATACAACAACAGTATAAGGAATGTATGGCGAGATAGAAATGGGAATAATCCCATATTTGTTGTCAGGATTTGGTGTTGGATTGAGGACCCAAAAGCAGAGGCAAGTAGGCAGAGGTGAATTTAGGTGGGTTTAATGA